ATGACGATTTCGAGTTTAAAAGTGGAGTGACCCGAAATGATTTCTCATGGGTAAACGCACCCTCAATTTCTTCGTGACTTTTTCTATTCGAAATACCCTCTATAACCCACCGAGTACTTCACCTCTCTGGTGGTTAATCGATTAATCGATAGACCAGATTAATCGATTGACATATGTGGATTAGCAAAAAAAAGTAGTTATCAAGAAAAGCTAATGGCTTAATGGTCTAATGCTGACCATTCCCCCAGTAGGTGTAGGTGCTGATAAATAAGGCACAAAAGCATTCAAGAAGGGAAAGCAAGTGGGTCTCGGTAGAAAAAGAGTACAGGTTTGCGTTCCGTTCGGGACCGAAGTTTTGTCTTTAACTAGCCAACCTTGTAAAAATCCTAATCGCAATATGTATCGAAATAGCAGTATTCAACAAGGGTTTAAGTCAAAGCAAATATGTTATGGGCAGAGTTTTCAAAACTTTCAGGAATAAAAGTTTGCGCCATAGTTCTGATTAGAGCATTCATTCTTTAGTTGCTTGATAGGTTCTTTCCTCTCTATTACTTGAACAGTAGTTTTTGAGTTCCATTTGTCATGTTATGATCTTTTCCTAGCCAAGTCATCCCTACTGGGCTCCCACCACTGTTGAATTCCTTGCATTAGGCTGCACGAGGAAAAAAAGGCTTCCCCTTGTACTCGGCACGCTTATGATAACAAATAATTACTAAGTATTTGCCTGTCTATTCATTGTTCGTGCATGTCATTGTTTTCGCCTTGAATGGTTCTGGGAACGTTGGAGCGGATGTCCGCAAGCCACCAAAGGCACCGATTAATGAGCACTTCTGGTTTTTTCTTGACTGATACTCGATTTGTGGCAATCTGTCCATGAAAGGCTTTTACCTCACTCCAAGTTCCTTCATGACAGCCCTCATTTCGACCGTTAGATGTTTCCTATTTGGAAATTACCGGCACCTCCACTTATATTAGATAACTTGCGCTTCTTCTGACCAATGGAGACCATTCACTAAACGAACGTAAGCGCTCAAAATCAGATAAACTTAAAAAGCCAATTTGTTCGATGCCCATTTGTTTGAGAGGGGAAGTGGATAAAAGGATAAAGGATAAAGTTTTTGGCGTTAATCAATCCCGTCTCAGGGATGCGCCCCCGCACTCAACTTCCATTCAGAATCGTAGTGGCGTAATGAGTGCGTAGTAGCCTATACAATGACTTGCGGTGGCCAGCCGATGTACAAGTCAGTGCTTTTATCCTCCCAGACGAGTTCTGATACCGATTACCCGACCCCGGGGATGGAAGGCTTTACTGGCCTAGACGAAAATCGGTTCGCAATTCAAACCAGTGATTATGCGTGGAGGCAGTGCGCCACTTGCCAGTGAATAAATCTCTTTTAATAAGTGTCTCGGCCAGCGTCCGTTTAAGGTAAGGATGAAAAAGGATACTTGCATTTGCTCTGTTCAAAGTAATGAGCAGCTATTGTTAGCCGTGAGCTTTGATGGCTTTCAGCTTATTTTAAAGATCATGACTTCCTTTTCGATGTGCTATGTAAGCGGATATTACTCAAAGGCGATCAAGTGCCCTCATAAAGTCTTTCCTGCGTATTTTCCATCAGTTTTAAATGTTACTCCACTAACTCTGTTGCCGAATGAATCGCCCACTAAGGGATCAACGTCACAGGTAAGTGATTAACTCAGCCTCTGCGTAAGCGAATATTTAGTAATTTAAGCTACTCGTCAACTTTTGGCACGATTTACGATGCAATAGCCCGATTAATTCTACCCAGTCCTTAGCTCTCATAAATCGAAAACAAATTTTTTATTTTAGTCCATCCTGACGTAGATGGTGTAGCCGAAAGTTGCCACCATCACTCGCATGGTCACGGGTTCGAATCCCAAAAATGTTCGCCTAGGTCAGCCAAGCCTTCCATCCCTCCGAGGCCGGTGAATAGGTACCAGACTTGTCTGTGAATGTAAACACACTCATTTGTACATTGGATGGTCACCGCATGCCATTGTATAGGCGTTCAATACGTAGCTACGATTTTGAATAGAAGTCGAAAGCTGGGCGCGTCCCTCAGATGGGATTTATCAATGTCAAAGGACTTTATCCGTTACCCTTCGGGTTTTATGTGTTTTTCGTAAATATTTCTACCACATTTAAGAAGACTTGAAACAAACTTCGTTCTATAAAGTGTCATTAAATCAGCCCGAAACGGTCTTTTGGCGTGCGGGTTCGAATAATAGGGAGGGAATGAGCTATGAAAGATTAGAAGGGGTAGGGAGAATGACAGGGAGAAAACTGTCATTACCTCACCTGCACTTTAATCCATGCAGTTCAGTTTTCACGAGCAGCAGTGAATTTGGATGGGCAGATCGAGCTTTGCTGTTTTGTAGTGTACAATTCTCATTAACTTTGTAGCAGAAAACTAGTTTCACGTATATGACGTATGTCATTTTTTGTGTTGTTTCTCCCGTGTGAACATTCTCTCAACCTATGCGATGAATTGTGGAAATCATTAAGAACTGTCTCATTCCTACCCACACAACAAACAACATTGTGTTTATCGGACTTCTGCAATGTACAACACCCACAATCACACCTTTTGCTTTTCCAAGCTGGACATCTCTCTCCGATAAGGAATTTTAGTTTTGAATCCCCTGAAAAATAAGACAATTCGAGCATTTCGAAGGGTTTGTTAACTTAGATTTCCTCTGGTTTTCCACCTATGCCAGAAGTTGAATCTGAAACAATCACCTGAAAGGTAGCATAGAATAGGTAGTGTAAGAAAGAAGTACGGTGCCCGCTAGCACAACAACGAGTTCGTGTCCTATCCCAAGGCAGAGTTTTGTCTATAACTCGTCAGCGTTGTGAGTCTACCATTTATTTGAAATGGCCGCCCACACACATTACGTGACCTCACTCTCTCTGCTTACGTCAAAAGTAATCTGTCCCAAGCACAACATATAAGCACTTCTTACTTGCGGATAAACTGAACGTCTCTGGGAGCATCCAATTCCCAGAAACGAGGTCTCTGTTACAGACATCAGTCTCGCTTCTTCTAGAACTATGCTCTTTGTAGGCCCATTCGACTTGAAAGGACTTTTTCCGAGAAGTAGCTCATAGTTTTTTTGTTATTTTTCAACTATATCGAACCTTGTGTTGGCATTTTCTTATTAAATCTACTAATTATTTTCGTCATTTATATAATACCAGTTGGGCCGCCTGGTTTTCGCCGGGATCTCATTCCTTACATTTATTAATCAGGTAAAAATGACCCCTCCCCCCTTAAGTGAAGAAATGTAGAGGAATGTAGGATAGAGCTGGATTATCCATATCACTGCCTTTATCGTAATCATAAAGTTTGCGGNCAGTTTTCACGAGCAGCAGTGAATTTGGATGGGCAGATTGAGCTTTGCTGTTTTGTACTGTACAATTCTCATTAACTTTGTAGCAGAAAACTAGTTCCACGTATATGACGTATGTCATTTTTTGTGTTGTTTCTC